TTCCATCTTTCCCTACTTTGCTCTAGGGACAAACAACGACTGGCAAGTTTTGTATTGATCGTATGCGTGTAGCACGACGACAAGCCGAGTGGAAAAGGCTTTTAAGCTTCGCAGCTTAAGTTGGATAACAGTGGTGTAACTAAACTTGAAATTATCACTTTCATCTCTAGCCCACTGGGCATGCCAAGCCCGAACGCTTGTTGTTCATGCTGCTGTGAGCTATTACGATAAAACATGATACTGCTGACCCCGTGGAACTTCAACCAAAGATGCAATCACGTATTTCAGGTGTTCTATTGTACGGAATAAAGCATGCGACAACTAAAACATTTAAGGATTAAGTATGTCAGAAAATATTGGTAATATCAAAAAATATTAGTAGATAGAAGCTTATCGTTTTTAAATTGAGAATTCTTTTAATACTAGATAGTGCTACCGACCTGTAATATATACCTAAATACAGTATACATAAGTAATAATAATTTATAATAATTTAAAGCACATGATAGAAATAAATAAATAATATTATATATAAATTATATATAAATATAATTAAATACATATAATTACGTTTCTGTCTGAATAAAAATTAACTTGAATTTTGTTGGAAGCACTAAAAATAAAATGTCTGACAGCATCCATTTTGATTCATTTCGAAGTTTTAGCGTTAATAACTTGCCACAAAAGTTTTAAGGTCACTAATTCTTTTTGAAGTACAATTGTACGATTCTGAACGTGCATAATATTAATCAACGATCTGAAAAATTTGACGATTATGGTTATTTAAAATCGATTAAGGTTGTAGACGAAGAGAAAGCTGTACCTTTTCAATCTCCTAGAAAACATTCGAATCGACGACTTCAATCTTTTCACAGTCGTTTTTCCAGTTGATAATATTTTCCGTACTTCTCAGATGAGAAAATTTCAAACGCTCTTTAATACTTTTTGGCCAAATCTCAACTGGGAAATATGCAAATCTCAAATATTCTCTTACTGCCTTCTGGCTAAATCTCAACTGAGGATGTGCAAATACGAAACATTTTTTAACTTCTTGGCTGCATTTCAAATGGGAAACGTGTAGTTTCAAACATCCTTTTATTGCATTTTTTGCTAAATTTCGAATGCAAAGCGAGTAAACTTCGAGTATATATTTTCCTCTTTCC